TTTCCATTTACACCTGTCCTAGATTTAATAGCTTCTCTGCTTTGCATTATAAAGTGCCGAACATGGTTGTAACAAGCCATAATAACATCCAACCAAGCTGCCGTTTTTGACTGGAGAGAAGAGATCTGCCTTTGGTCAGGTGGAAAAATAATGACTACCTCATGATCACACCTAGGTTGTATCTCATGGGACTCCAGCAACGTCACCACTCACTTATTTAAATGTAATAAGGTAAGGAACGTGTGTGACGACTTTAATTTTGAAGTAGCTTGAGTCCAGACTAGGTGCAGTGACTCCTGGATGAATGCCAGTACCCTTTAAGCAATACGATTGGAGGCGAGGCTCCTGAGGCCTTACTGGCTGATGCTCCTGCCTCTCACACTGCTCTCATTGCCACACATGGAAGAGCCAGTAAGCCTTAAATGATAAACTGGTCTATGAGAAGCAGTTGAGTGTTTCTCTGTGCAGCTGTAACGGAGCAGGCGTTATCAGACCTTTGCCAATTTAACCCACTCTGGTACTGGATTTATTGGGCTGACGTAGTCAGAAAGTCAGGTTGTGGGACAGCTCTCCTCTGTCTTCATTTTAACGAGATGCTCACTCAGAGTGCCATTTAAAACATGCCTAAGAATTACACTTTGACCAGGGTGGTGTCAAAGAGACTTTATTTCGTCTAATTGTCTTGAATATACTCTGTAAATGACTTTTTCTCCGATTGTTTTAACCTATGAGTGTGGTAATGGCCAAAGTTGAATATATTTTTTTGTAATAGCATATGTGTATTTCACTAGTATTTTTTGTAATTAATTATTCGATTTGATAAAAAAAAAAACAACAGAACTTCAGCATTTCCAGTTATTGCTTACATGTAAGGTTAGCAAACTATGACCACTGCACAATTTAGTATGAACGTATAATACCAAAATAATATTGTACCAGCTTGAGCTTGGCTTTTTTCCTTTCTCTCTTATATCAGTGAGGTGAATATCGGTTCATCAAGAGGTGACACCACAGCTGCCTTCTTGATAATCATGTAACAGCCGTTGATGTGAAAGGAGCCATAATCGTGCTCCGAGGTCATGTCAGCACCTTCACTCATCGGGTTTAACTTACGAACAAAGCCCAATGCCTTAGTTTATATTTTAGAGCAATACTCTGAAAGACGCAGGTGCTAAACTTACATCCTACGTGGTGTCTGTGCATTTTTTTTGGAACCTTGAGTGCAAACAGCCACACATCAGATTGTGGTTAACATCATTGCACTGCATGTTGAAGTGAAAACAGCACAACGGCATGTTAACCATGAACTAAAAACATTAAATTAGCCTTTTCATGGGATTTTTTTTAAAGTACCTTTTTTTTTAAATTACTGTTTTAGTTAATTGGCTGCTTTTTGGGCTTTCAGCTGCCAGTAATAAAAGCAGACCTCTTAAATAAAGGTAAGATTTTCACTTGGTAAAATCCAGTGAGGTTTACTGTAAATGAGTCTACATTGTGGCTTGTGTGAAGTTGAGAATAACTTGAGTGTAACACGAGCGGAAGGTTTCTAAGTAGCAAGTATTGTGTGGTCTGAGTTCTGCCTGAAAGAAGTGTGAAAATGTTGGTAGATTGTTGTGTAGAGGGCTGAACGTAAGTGAACAATTTGTCAAACTGTCAAATGGTGAGCTTGTTTTTTTTTCTTTCTTTCTTTTTTTTCCCTTTTAAACCATGTTCTGATTTCACTCAATTAATGCTGTTGAAGGGGGAAAATACACCTGTGGCCTCGGTATGTCTGCGTCCCAGAGAAGTATGCTACCGTGTGTGCGTGGTACTGTGCTTTTACACTGGGAACTTGATTTGTAGAAATCTGTAATTGTTTTATATATAACAAAAGCATATTTGTATAAATGAACTAACAATGAGATGATTTTAAATTATGCCAAATAAAATGGTGGTCAAAACTAGTTGTGTCTTTCAGAAATGATATTGTTGCACACAAACGGCACACTTTTCCTGAGTCATAATAGTGGAACAATTAATCAGCATTGACGTGTGTGTGCTTGTGTGTGGGAGAGAGACGGATTAATAGGGCACACGTACAGTCAGCGACTTTTATTGTCATCTATGGAAACTACCTCCTTTTCATCTGATCTATTTTTACGTTTTATTTCTACCACTAGATGGCAACAGTCCTCCATGTCAGCTCTGCTAATTAAGAATGAGCGCCATTCTGTTAAACCTCTTTGGTCCTTTCCCTGCGCTTCGGAATTAATGGTCTGTGGCCATTCAGGTTTGGGGGAGTCATCATTCTCTTTAACAGACACACACAAGTGCAATGAGATGCAGGAGCTTAAACACGTGTGGGCGACGCCTTCTCAGAAATGTTTCCCTGACCTTTAAGGGTGGTGTCTGTGACAAATGACTGACGTTGTGAACTCCACCAAAAGCTCATTACAGCGTCTCTGCAGCAACGTTCCGATCTCATTTCCTCTGTGGTCTGTCACAAAATGTTCTTGCGACCAAAAACACCGTTCACGTACGTCTACAGCCTGCGAAGCTGTTATGAAGGGTTGTCGTAACTGCTTGATCACCCCCTCCTGTCAGCACAGAAAAACACAGTGTAGCGATTCTTCTGTTCAGTTTGGTAAACAAGATGAGGGAGGATGAGTTCACAGCAACGTGAACTCATCCTCCCTCATCAGTGAGGTCTTTTAGGTCTTTTACAGTGATCCACTATTGGACAAGCAAAAGAATTGGACCCATTTAGTTGCCTCAGAACTATTATTTACAACTTTTTCTACATTTCACGACAGTCTTAGTTTTATTTTAACAGCTTTAGCTCACATTATATTTGGAACGTTTTTTGGTCAATGAACAGATGTACAGTAGCTGCAGCTAGTTGTTCCTGAAGAAACATGACACTGTGAGTCAAGATGTGATAAATATATGATGCATAGTTTTCAAACAAAAAACATTTAAAAATTTGGAAAATATAAAAGTATTGCAACTAGTTCTTGTAATTGTTGCAGTATCTATGTATTTGATGGTACACACCAAATATTTGATCAAGTAAATACATCTCGGTCAAATGTCAATCTGCAGCCCCAGTGGATTGTGGGAAATATCCTTGTTAATGCTGGTCATGGCTTTGTCAATGCAATCTGCAGTCATCTGTTATTCTGGTATTTTGTGTCAAAAGAGCACGTAATTCCCCGCTGCGTCCTGCAGGCTGTGCTATGAATTCAAAAGCCTCGTTCCATCGTGACTGCCTTTTTCACAACATATGCCTTTGCAATACAATTTAAAAAGAGGAAACTGTGACATTTGGGTTTTTTTTAGGAGGGTTTAGTACTGAAACGGAACAAGGGACACACAGTGGAAGGGTGGTTAGTGCTTTTGCCTTACAGCAAGAAGAGCATCAGTTCTAGTGCTAACTTTTCACTAATATGTTCTTTTGGTATATGCATGGCTTTTCTCAGGCTACAGTTCCTCTTATCTGATTGTACTGCATTGGACTGGCATTTTTCAGGCATTAAGTGCCTTTGTGTAAAAGCTGATCCTTACTGTATTGTAGTCTTTGTTGTCACAGGAGGAATAGTTGCCCCTCAGGTGTTTTCAAATCCAGCTTCCTTTTCAAAGACGTTCTGGACCCGTCTGCTTGGTGCTGAACAACTGAAAGAACACCCCATACACCGTTTTTGTACTTGTCTTCCTGTGACAGACACAGAATGTGTCCGGTTTTTGCTGTGCTTTACATGATGTGAATGAAGATGTCTTTCATGTGGAGTGGTCACACAGAGAACCTCGCCTTTGAACGTGGCAGGAGGCCAAACGCTCTTTGTTCCGATTCTGTCTGTTTGATGGAAATGTGCCACCGAGGGAAAGTTAACCATCAAATGTCGTTTCTGTGAGTCATCGGTGTGGAGCAAGTGGGAGTGCTGGCCTCTGTCAGGGCCTTGATCTCAGCTGTGTCTATCACTCCTTCAATCTCCATGGTTTCCTTTCTTCCATTTCTCCGTCCATTTAATGATGTGCCGGTTAAGTCTGGCCGTGTCTCAGTGCTATTCAGCAAATGAAGTGGGGAGACTTTTCCTTTTTTTTTCTCTCTCTCGTCCCCTTCTTGACTAAAAGATAAAAAAAAAAACTGCAAAAGGGCCTTGATCTAATAGAAGGCCTGCAGCTACAGCCATGGTTAAGGAAAAAAAAAAAGCTTCAACTCTGCATTCAAATCAAACTGTTCCAGCAGAAGGGGAGATGAAATGGGATTGGAAGAGTGGGGGCATAAATAACGATTGAGAAGAGAGTTTCAGTTTCAGGTCGTGTCAAATGGGAAATGAAAAGGTGGAGATGAAACATGACAGGATGGAGCGGTGGAAGATTGTCCTACATGTAAGTTCAATGGCTGGTCGTTAATGGAGGAGAGAGGGAACAACACAGTACCAACGCAGACTGCCAGCAAAAAAAATAAGCAAAACAGAGTGATGTGAAACACTTCACATTATGACATCAATAAGAACACCGAAGACATTATGAAGTAAAATATTTCACATCACCTTGTGATAACCTGAACTATGAGCAGCATAATGACATGGAAACATTTCATTGTCGCGTGAAAAATGTTGCCTTGTGATGTGAAATGTCTTACGCTTACACAGCTGTAAAAAAAAAAAAAAAAGTCCTCTGAAGTTACATTTCTTGTGCA